GATTACTTGGATTGAGAGGCAGCACCTTTCTCAACATGTCATAATTGGGTAATATCCAACTAGTATGATCTCCAAGTGAAGAAATGGTAACTTTGTATGTTTCAATACATGATGACATTGTGTAGTATCAATTTTTCTTTGCAACAACTGCTAAGGCCTGTGTACATGTCATTTCATTTATTCGGAATCTATTGAATATACATGTTTTTTCTTAGGCATTAAAAAAAATCGATACACGATTTTCTAGTTACATTGATATAGGACTTGTGTTGAAACATTTTCTTGTTTGAATCATGCAAGTAATCGATTCAATTCCCAATAAAATATCAATATAATCCAAAATAAGTATCAATATATGAAACTTTTTTACAATCCATATTTAACAGAAAGAAAACAAAAACTATAACATTAAATCATTATGTTGAACTTTCATTTAAACACATTTAAATTATTTTTTATATGAAAAATTTCTATATTGTGATACCTTTGAAGGACAAAATATTTGATTACAAAACTTTTTATATAAATAAAAAACATCTGAATTTAATGAGCATAAAATAATCTTAAATATTGATGTACCTTAAAATGTAACATTAACTGAACTCAAGCTACCGATTTCAACAAGGGCAATTTTTGTGAACATACTATAATGACGAAACTACCATTCACTTTTCTAGAAGCAGCAACATATTTATGCAATCATAAAAATATATATAGCTCTATTCCGTAGAAACTTTTTATCAAAGTCAAAGTCGACAATTAATTTTAAATACATATTTTATGGGACTTATAACTTTTCAACCACACATTTCATCAACTTTTATCAAAACATACTAAAAATCTAATTTTAATCCTCACCAAATATGGGCTATAATAATTAACCTTGCATGATGGGGGGCAGAGGGGAGGGGGGGAGAAAAGAAATAATAAAAAAATGAAAACATAGATCACAAGCAAAGCCAAGTCATATAATAAAAGTAAAAAATTAATGGAAAAATTGTAGCAGAAGCCCCAAACCTTTAAAATATTAGCAGACTTTCTTCAAATCTTTCATTTGTTGCAATCGTCATCCCAAACCTTTCAAAACGTTACGACGGAGGCCCCTTTGGACGATTTTCATCCAAATGTCTGTTAGTTGACCATCAAAACAAACTTTGACCACATTTTAACCAATTTTTAATGGGCAAAATAGTAACTTTCCATTTGCTACATTAAATAATTAAAAAACTTAAATCAAAAACAAAAAAAAGGGGATCCTCTTCTTCTCTCCCAGCTGCGCCACCGTCAACAACCACAGTGGATGGCTAAGGCACATGAATTACAGGTAGCTAAACCTGCTCCAACGGGAAAGATGAAGTGTCAAAGGTGGGCAAGGTAAAACCCATTTGAAACATGTTGATTGGACTCTACTAATCGGGATTCAACATCGTTGAAATAGGAATCAGTCCATTCAACTCGCCGTCGAATCTTACGCCAGTTACCTGCTGCACCATTTGCCTGAAATTCGCCAAATCAATGGTGATAAACGTCGTCGTTGCGTGCTTCTTTGTACGCGATTTAAGTTTAGTGATTTTCCCTATTTGTTGGTGAGGAACTTATGTACAGTCTGCTGGTGAGGAATTTGTAAACAATTTTGTTAAAGCTTTGTTAAGTGTCTTTGTTTCTTTGGTGAATAAATCAAATATCCAACCATACACCATTCCTGGACCAAATCTCCGAGGTTGTTGTTTGATGGTAACTAGATTATCAGACGACACCATTCTTAGACTTGCTTCATTTCTCACAGTGTTTCGAGAGATGGGATGTGCTTTTGGGGAGAGAGATCTGATTATTTGGGCCTCTAGCGGCGAGTTTGTAGCTGAGAAAGGGAGGGAAAAGAGAGAGGAAAGAGATCTGGCCGTGGCGGTGGCCCGTGGGTTTGGGGAAAGACGAAGATATTATGGCGGTGGGGGTGGGCGTAGGAGGAAGAAGTCGTTGGGTGTTTTTTATTTTTTTTTATTTCTTATTTATTATTTTTTATAATTTAATTTCTAACTTATTTTAATGTAATAAATGAAAAGTTACCATTTTGCCCTTTAAAATTGGTAAAAATGTGGTCAAAGTTTGTTTTGATGGTCAACTAACGGATATTTGCATGAAAATCGTCCAAAGGGGCCTCTGCCGCAACGTTTCAAAAGGTTTGGGATGACGGTTACAACAAATGAAAGGTTTGATAAAAGTCTGCTAATGTTTTAAAGGTTTGGGGTCTCTGCTGCAATTTTTCCAAAATTAATCTAGTTGTACAATCATATTTGACAATGCTGATTGACACTGTGGATGTTATCAAAATTCAAGCAATTAATTATTAAAATAATTTTTGAAATGGAATAACGTGATATTGACAAGTATGATTATCAACCAAAATTGTAAGAAAATATTGAACAAGTAGCATGATTGTAAAAGTAATTACTCCCTCCGTTTCATTTATATAGGCTAATTTTATTTTTTACACAAATTAAGAAATCTTATTTAATGTTATTGAAAAATCAATTTTTGCCAAAAACTGTTGGAATATACCCTTATTTAATTATCAACAACTAATAGTAAATTATTATTGATAGTAGTAAAGAAACTAAATGATTAAGCAAATTAAATAAGAGTACATTAGTAAATGAACAAAACAAAATATTTTCAATATAGAAATAGAACTATATAATTGGGATAAGAAAATAAAAAAAATCGATTTATATAAATGAGACAGAGGGAGTATGTAGTTTGTATTGCTTCACAAATTCAATGCATGCTCATTGCTCGACATGCTGATCTATGAGAAATTTAAGATCAGACAAAGTAATTCAAACACTAAATTAATATCGTATATGCTTTTAAATGGCATTCATTCACAATCATAAATGCATTAGTGGCAATATAGACAAAATCATTGGAACGAAAATCTATGGTAATCGTGGAAAACAGGTCAGAAATCACAGAAATTTGATGGCTAAATTTAAGAATTTTCTAATCTCAAATAAAAAACTAATCTTCATTTTCAATTGAAATTTATTTCCTACTTTTGGACTCTTTTCATATGAAATCGCTGAAGAAATTGCAAAATTTTGGATGGAGTTTTGACCTCTTCGATTATAACGTATTTTTAAGTTTTTCAGCTTTAAAAAAAGTAATTTCTTGGATCTTGTAAGTTGAAGTAGAGTTCGGTTTGATGCCCAGTTTTAGGGTAGTTTAGCGTCCCAAAAATAAAAAAAAAAAAAGAAAAAAGAGAGAGGTGTACGTTTTAAATAAACAAAGCTCCAATCCATGGCCAGTCAATGTAAAAATTGGTTTGTTTGCTCTTAGGAAAGAAAAAAATGCAACAAATAATCGTTATGGACTCTTTTGGCATATCTTTTGGTTCCTGTAATAGAGTTTTTGGAGAAAGTTGCCTTAATTTTTATTCGAAAACTAATTTTTAAAAGCACTTCCTATTTCGAAAGTACTTTTAGAAGAAATCAGATTGGACTAAATTTTTCTAAAAACTCTTCTAACTATCGAAAACATTTTTATAAAATTAGTCAAACGGATCTAAAAACAACTTTTTAATCTCAAAAATTCCTTTTGACTTTTTCAAAAGTCATGCCAAATGGACGGAAATACTCCAATCTCAATTTCATCAATGTAATTTTACTTAACAACTTTTTTCGTCTCAATTAAAAATCATTGAATTTTTCAAATATTCCAAATCAAGATTCGTTAGATATATAAAAATAATATCTAAATTGATCATCTTTGACTGAAATACTCGTTTGCTCCTCAATTCCAAAGTACTAATTAGTATAGAACATTATAATATTTTTTTCAAAAGTGCATAAAAATTTATTTCCAGGGATTATTTGTCCCTATATCGCTTTTGCCTTGAAATTGCTTATATATTTGATTTAATAGTTTAAGGAAAGTTGAGAAATAAAATTAAGAATTCGTTTGACTGATCAAGGTTCATTTATGGTGACCAAATGCTCTAGAAGAACAGCGACTGAAATATAATTTTATTTTTTAAAAATAGTTGAATTTATTGATATCTTTTTAGAAAACTATACTGCACGTAGAAAAATTCGAAAGACGTACCATACTGAATTTATTGATATTTTTGTATTTCGTATGGGGTATTTCGGAAGGACAAGAGGGTTATACCATCTCATGGTAGATTGACAAATTATTGAGCCGAGCTGGATTTGAACCAATATAGGCATATTGCCAAGTATAAAAATTTGAAAGACGTACTAGGACATAAATTTCATACGTGTTTTTCCATTTTAATTCTCAATTTTCCCGTAATAGGTGACCACTAGTTTGAATTGATCATCAACATTTTTCACAAGGAATGTCGGTGATCGTAACACTTGTACTCTAACGTCATTGTTCAAATGCACAGGTAACATATATGTGAACGAAAAATTGGAGTCGAAGTTTGTTAACAATTGGGCTCACAAGATTTAAAGGTCAAGATTATTTATTTTAATTAATTTTGTCATCAGCATCCACTCTCAGATATAAATCGAATCATACATACGACACACACAATTTTCAAAACAACATATTCACTAATTTTTAAAGTTGATCAATAAAAAGTTATTTATTTTATAATAAACTTATAAAATTGTTTAAATTCATATATGTGTAATTTCACAAAAGTAAAAATGCAAAAGGTGATAAAGTTTTGTCGACGAAGGAAAAAAATACGCTCATAATAAGGAAAAAGCAGGGATCAAAGATATCAAGGCATCAAGCTTTGGATTCGTCAAACTCGTTCCTTCGAAAGTCTTTGAATTTACCACACCATTTTGCGAATTCCCATTCAAGAATATTAAAAAAATAAAACTGTGTTGGACGAACGTATACGAATATTCAACTGTCCACCCGTCCCACCCTCTATTTGGAGGAAAGGTGTTCCGACGACGAAAGAACATTAAACTGATCTAATATCTTCCATTTCTGGTGAGTTTTTCATAACTATCTTAGTAAATAATTCCTTTTTGAATGCGGCTTCTGTTATTACAATAATTCTGGGATTTTAATGTTTTACTAAGACATGTTCTATGATGTTCTTTTCGATTGCTTATCCCATATATGGAAGAAGATTAAGTTTACAGTTTTCATTTGAGTTTTTCTGGGTAATTCCAAACGACAAAAACCTAGATATTTATAAAGCATTGCTTTATATAATTTATGTGCGAAGGTGAATTAACATTGATAAAGAAAACTTGGTTAAATTGAAAGGAGTTTAATGATAAATTTGCAGGTGGGGTGCCTTGAATTCTGTTGCAGTTTATTTGCTCATTGTTCTTTTTGGATTTTGAAGGAATTTGGAGACAGTCTTTCGGATTTTCCTTCAGTTGGACTTAAAAGGACCAACAATATTGGTAAAGGAGATTCAGCCATCACCATGGATAAAGGATGCAATAAGTTCAGTAGGAAGAATTCAATAAACTTGAGGAATAGCGAGCCTGGACAATTAATTCTTGAAACGAGGCTTTCATTCAAGAATCCTGTACAAGACATCAGAAAATCAGAATATGATAATGCAAACGAAGAAGTTGATGGTTCTACTTATAAATCAGTTAATGCGGTTTCTCTCCCAAAACCTGTTATTATGTTTTCACCACGACCTGTTGGTGAGCTTGATGCTGCTGCCATCAAGCTTCAAAAAGTATACAAGAGCTACAGGACTCGAAGAAACCTTGCAGATTGTGCAGTTGCAATAGAAGAGCTATGGTTTGTCAGCTTACCATTTAGTCATTTCATGTAATTAAGTACTTCTGTTTGGAGAATAAAACATTTTCGTATTTGATATATATATAGGTGGAAAACCTTGGACTTTGAGGCTCTCAAGCGATGCTCTGTGTCTTTCTTCAATAATGAGAAACCAGAAACTGCTGTTTCACGGTGGGCTAGAGCTAGGACGAGAGCAGCCAGGGTCAATATCCTACTCAGTTCAGAGCTACTTGTTCTGTTAAATTTCTTCTGTGAAAGAGGGATTAATTTCGTGCAATTGCAGGTTGGAAAGGGATTGTCTAAGGACGAGAAGGCTCAACAACTTGCCACACAGCGCTGGCTTGAAGCTGTAAGTCCTCTAACCATTTAAGTGATTCTAAGATTTGGGATTGGCTTTTATCCAATTTTTAGCTTCAATTTATTCTGAAGTATGTTTATAGTGGACGAACTTTTAAAAATGCTCTTATCAATTGTTTTACCTCTCTCTTAGCGATAGAAGGACAAATACGAACCATTGATATAATAGCTACGTAGGTCTTGTGATATTAATTATCACTCTTTTCTGTAGATCGATCCATGCCATAGGTACTGGCACAATTTACATCTCTATTATGATATATGGTTCAAAAGCGAAAGCCTACAGCCTTTCTTTTACTGGTGAGCACCCAATTAACCATTTGAAATTGAAAACTTATTTGGTTTGAAGTTTGAGGAATAATTATAGGAGTAGAAAGTTATAACTATTAAGTGCATTCAAAACTTTCTTCTCCTTTTTGTGATAAGTTAATAAACAAAATATTTCTTACTGACTTGCTCCTGCAACATTTGTTCTTTAATGTGAAGGTTGGATGTTGGAGATGGAAAAGAACTAAATCTTGACGAGTGCTCACGGGCCAATTTGGAATGGCAATGCATCAAGTATCTGGGACCAGTAAGTTTCATGTCATTGGAGAGTATTACCAATCTCCCAAGCAGAGTTTATATTTTCAAATAAAGTACTGAACTAATTACAGTGTATTAGCTAGCATTCTCACGGGCATATATGATCATTCCTTCAACAGAAAGAGAGAGAATCATATGAAATCGTGGTTGAAAATGGGAAACTTGTGTACAAACAGAGTGGTTCCACCTTGAACACGGTTGAAGGTTCAAAATGGATATTCGTTCTTAGCACAACAAGAATTCTGTACGTAGGCAAGAAGAAGAAAGGTCTTTTTCAGCATTCAAGTTTTCTTTCTGGTGGGGCCATTACAACAGCTGGAAGATTGGTTGCTCATGATGGTGTGCTTAAGGTATATATACATAATGCTAGAGAGTACACAATAATCTCAAGTTTGAAGTACTGTTTAGCATGTATTCTTCCGGCGAATTGAAAAATTTCTCAATTTACAGGCAATTTGGCAATGTAGTGGTCACTATCAGCCAACAGAGGAGAGCTTCAGCGAACTCATAAACTTCCTGGAGGATCACGGCGTAGATCTTGCTAATGTAAAGGAAATTTGATGTGGTGTAGAAGGAATTAGATTTCATGAAAAAGTGGGATTGGCGCAAGTAGAAATAAGCAACTTCCTGATTTTTGGAGAAACATTGGGGTTGTCCATTTTTGGTGAAATTTTAGTCAATTTTGGGGAAATTCCTTCGTTTAAGAGTTTTTTCCATTTTTTTTTTTTGTAATTGTTTTCTCATATCTCAATCAAATAAATTCAGATTTGAATTCCGTTTGTTGGAAGATAATCTTGAAGATAAGGACTTTCAATTTTAGCCATCATCTCAATTTTTTTCATTTTTGGAAAAAAAAAATCTTTTATTATTATTATTTAATTTTTTTCCCGAATTTCCCTAGGTTTCCGAAGCATTGTAAGCCTTTTGTGGCCATATTGATTGATAGAAATAAAAATTTTCGTGAGTTTTTTTAATCTTTATGAGATTTATTCATCTTTTCTATAAGTTTCGTCTACGTCATAATTGTTTTAAATCCAACAAGAGACTTATATTTAGTCAAACTTAATGGGGCGTTTGTTTCCCTTTTTTTTATAAAAATGAAAATGAAAAATATAGTTGTTATGGATCCACACAAGAGATAGAAATTCAAATTTGGTGGCTTAATGTGATAGATAAAGATCATATTTTTCATTTTAATGCGGAAAAATGGGAAACAAACAGGGCTAAAGCTCCTTCGTAGAAAAGTTTTTTAACCGATGACCCTTTGCCATTTCGCCTTTTGCAGAGATGTGCAATCGATGATGACTTCCCTCCTTTTAATAAGGATGCCAATAAGGAATCAATTCTAAGACGATCATTAGGTGGTCGTGGTTCTGAAGCCAATCAATTTGAGAATGTAAGCACATTTGATATAGATGGTCGAGCCCAGGAAACGGAAAGTACAGGCGCTGAAGAAATGGATAAACTGGTTTATAACTTGGCCAAGCACCTGTCCTGCAAAGGGACAACTGGAGCCGGACCAAGCATTGGATGTGCCCAGGAATACCCTGCAGATTTGCAATTCCGAGCACTTGAACAAGTTAACCTTTCACCTCCTATCAGCAACTATGGTCCAATCCCGTCACCACGACAAAGTCCTAAGATTCGACTCTCTCCCACTCCAAGGGCCCCATTCCAGCAGCTACCTAAGGCTTGATAGGAAATGGATAAAACTGGGGTTTACAGAAGCTTAGACCATGGTAAATCTATAGTTCCGTACGACACTGTGCTCAGCTTACTCAAATATTCATTCTTTTATACCCAAAAATTTGCGTGGCTCTCATGTGAGTTCCTAATCATTTTTGTTAGACTTTCGGCTCGTCTTAATTGGTTTCAAGCTTGATTTCATTCACCATTTTATTTTTGGATAAGGCTATTTGTACACTTTTGATGTACATAATCGTTGACACTTCCATCACATACAAAAGATGACTTAGTAATGATCGGCAGGTTTGTAAATTTAATTTTTATTATTGTGTTGAATATATCCTCCTATTTATGATTAGAATAAAATGAAGTACTTGATAAATTTGAAAAATAAGAACACAGAATGATAACTAATTTGTACAAAACATTGTTCATTTAGCCTTGACTTAGCTATGTTATGGTGCTGTTGAATTACTTCAAGGCGGGAGTTGCTGACCCAAATGCATCTGGGCATCATAGATATTGATGTGATCAGCGTGTGATCTTTTTGGTCATGACAGGTAGATATCCTTGCCAATATTATTGTTGACTATGATCACAGAAATGCTACATTTATAGGGGTCTGTAAAACAGACTTCTGCCAAATCTCTCGCATGTGTGGGTCTAGATGTATTTTTTTTTTATGTGGGACCAACTCCTATAGTGAGGGGTCGGTAAAACATCTGTAGGAAATTGTTTTGTACACAGAGCAATTTCCCTATGATCAACAAATTTCTCTCACTTCCTTATCTCACTATAATTGATACTCAATAAGGAGAAAGAGTGACAATGGCCCCTAATGGGGTGGTCGAGTTGGTGGATTAGGTGAACACGAAAGCCTTTGATCACGAGTTCGATTCCTCTTATCCACTTTCTCGATCGAACCCGTCGCACATGGCTTGTCTAGTACGATTTATTTGGCTGGCGTGATTTGCAGACTGTTGCGTCAGTTCGAGAGTTTACCTAATGTGCACTCGAAGGGTAGTGATTGCGGATTCCCTCGTCATAAAAAAAATAAAAAATAGATAAATAAAAAAGATTGACAATGACTATTTTTGAGGAAAATATTCAAATTTACGTGCCTATCTTCTTTTAGGTCCCTTAGTTATAAATTTTCTTTGAAGTTTTGGGGTTAATTGGGTCATTTCGATTAATGACAAGTGGTGGTGATTTAATGGTGGATTTGTAACTAATTTTTGTGTTCACTTTTTATTGTC